GATCCTGGATAGTCTGTAACATGTCATTAGGAATTTCAAGGGCAGTCAACGATTCATAAGTAAGCCTGTGAAAGAGCCACAACAAAACACAAGTGAGCAGAGTGGAATCTTGAAGCAATTCCTGTCATCAGTTTGGCCAGCCTATGGAGGTTGTAAGCTACAATATTATATGGAAAGCAAGGGGAAAGTAAAACCATAACAGGAATTACAATACAGCAGTAACAGTGAATTAAACAATAAAAAAGATGCACATTCAGTACAACATTCTCATCAAACATAAGCATAGGAAGGTTTAGGAGTTTAGGTGCTATATGATAGAGAGGAAATACTAGAGGCAAGAAGACATAGTAAATTCTTTGTTGACTATGTTAAAAAATCATATCTCAAACTGAATGCGTTGTGGGTTTTTTTTCAAAAAGACAAAAAAATTTTTACACGTTTTCAGAAGAATGTGTCCATATTTACCTTATGGTCTGGATGACATGAGCAAGCCACTGTCCTGAGAGCTCAGACTTCACCTCCCAGCCTCCATACTGCCTCACTCCACACTCTGGGATGCTGAGTGGGAGGAGGGCTCCACGGATCAACTTCACAAGACACTGCATTACTTCTTGAATCATTTTCTAGACAATGGTGAAAGTAAAACCTCATTAAAAGTCATTAATTTGATTAAATCAACTAAAGGAATCAGCCTGAACAGTGATGAATAGTTTGAATGTGGATAGTTTTCTAGTAACTTTGGTTAAGAAAACATTATCCTGTGAAAAAGTCTACATACTTATCCTTAACTTACCTTAAAATCATTTTGTCTTTGCCTTACATTCTTTGATCTTTCAATCTGGCCTGATTTCTCTGCAGTCTTAAAAATTAAAAAAGCAAAATCAAATATGTTAGTTGTCTTCAGATAAAAAGAAGAAATGCCTTAGCAGTTGTATATAAAGAGAGCATAAGATATGGTTGTAACTTGACTGAAAGGAATGTTTAAGACATAATCTAAGTTTCTGATTTAAAAACAGACTTAATTAGAAAAACTTTTTTATTCCAAAAGGAAGTTATTCATTTCCTTAAAACCTTTAAGTACAATTTCCATTCCATAAATAAACCTAAGAATTAAGTTGAAATTGCCTTTTTTGTAGGTGAATTTCATGTGCCATGTTCATCAATAATTGTATATGGTTAAATCTAAATCTTACCCACGATAACCTTCTCAATACTATTTCTCATTAGCTAGTAGAGAAACAAAAAGAAGAATAAACTCTGGATTAATGTCTAGGAATCTTAGGATATCCATTCCCTTCCCTTAAACATTTATAAATAACCATTATATTTGGCATTTTATTTTTAAAGAATTATAAATCACTATTCTTTCAGGGATTCTATAGTCTAATTTAGGAGAGAATATATTCTAGAATTAAATTTTTATCTGTTTACTGCTAGCCATATTTTCCTTTGATACTTCTTTCTCCTTAAAGTAATATGTGGAAGACGACACTGATTAAAAATCTATTCAATTGGATTTCAGTTAACTTTTTACTCCCAAATTTTCTAAAACTAAATATTACCACATAAAATGCCTAAGAAGGATAAGCTTAGAAAACTTTCCAAATAAAAAAATAATAAAAAAATGGTATGATGAAAAAGAAAATTCTGATAGTTCACTAACATAATACGAAATTATCCTTTAAAGTTAAAATGCTTATGAAATTATTGGATAGAGACGTGTCAAGAGAACTTTCAAGCTAACAACAATTGACTTCAAGTTAATTTTAAAATACAAATAATGTTATATATATTTTTGGTATAAGCTAGAGAAAATGTGTATAGAGTTCATTATTATGATGAGCATTACTAACATGAATGAGCAAAAGAAGGGTAAGAACAAAAACATAAGACATACCTGATAAAAAGTGGTCAACACACACATGCATACATACCTCTTCAGGCTCTAATTTACATTTATTTTATAATTTTATATTGAACTATATTGCTTTTATCATTTTTTTCTTTGTAGAAACGCACTTTTGCTTTTAAAGAATTGAAGTTTAATTGTTGAAAAAACTAAACCTAAAATTCACCTCAGTAATAAGTCAATAAGCAAATTCCTAAATTCATTAGGCAACAACACTCAAAATTCTTTGTACATGAGGATTTCACTTAGAAGCTGAGGTTTCTGCCCCTCTATTTTTTAAGACAAATGAGAAGTAACTGAAGTGTTTTAAAGCAACAGTGAGAAGTGACTAGAGGGACTGACATTAGGAGCACAGCCAGTTAGGAGGATACTACATTCACCTAGGTGAGCAATCACAGCGCATTAGACAAAAGGAAGTGGAGCATGAACTCATGCAGATGGCTTAGCTACAGGCTTTCAAGGCAGAGGTGACTGAACCTGGCAATTCTACTGGGTGTTTCAGTGAGACAGGAGAGATGTCAAGAGTGACTCCCATCTGAATCATGACCACTCAGGTAAGTCCAACTAGCCCTGAATGTCTATTAGCCTACTTTCTGTTTCTGTCAAAGTGTGATGCTCTGATTCAAAGTAACACTTTGAACACAATACAGTGGCCTATGTGTAGAAAAGCAAATGAATGGCCCCAGGTCTACTGAGGTGATAAATTAATTAGCTATTCTCTAAGTAATGCAGTTTGTCAGGTCTTAGTCTTAGGCACTTTTTTTCTCTATACACTCTCACTAATTTATTCTCAAGACTTCAAATATCATTTCTATCGAGTGCCTTCCTATTTTGGATTCTGCACTCAATTCATGTTGGAATTGAGTATAAAATTCTCCAGACACCAGTTGGGTGGTCCAACAATTCAACTCAATTCTAACACAGTCTACCTGGAGATAACGTCAGATCCCACAAGCTAAAGGCTCATTCCTACAAGATTTGCACCTCCCCCCCAACACACATGTAGATGCCAATCTCAAGACCAAGTTATCACCTATGCTTCTGGCCTATTGGCTACATGTTGGAGGTTCCTAAAATTCCCTGCATGGGTTCAAGTAATTTGTTACAACAGCTCACAGAACTAGGAAATGTGTTTACCCACTAGATTACCAGTTTATTATAAAAGGATAAAACTCAGAAATGGCCAGGTGGAAGAGATGCATAGGGCAAAGTATGAGAAAAGGGTGCAGAGCTTCCATGCCCTCTCCAGGCAAGCCACTCTCCCTGAATCTCCACACATTCATCAATCTGGAAGTTCTCTGAACCCTGTCCTTTGGCTTTTTATGGAAGCTTCATTACATGGGCATGATTGATTAAATCACTGGCCACTGGCAACTGATTCAACATCCAGCTCCATTCCCCTCCCTAGAGGTCTGAGGGTTAGACTGTAAATTCCAACCCTCTAATCACCTGGTGATCCAAGCAATTAGCACCCTCATCCTGAGGTGGCGACAAAAGTCACATCATTAACATAAAAAAAGACCTTTCCCACTCCTCACTTGAAGAAATTCCCAGGGTTTTAGGAGCTCTGTGCCTAAAACCAGAAGAAGACTATATATATTTCTTATTATAAATCACAATGTCACACTTCCAAATTTGTATCTCCAGCCCTGATCTTTCCTTTGAAGCCCAGATTTGAATTTCGGATTGTCTACTTCATGTCTCTTCTTGAATAACTCACAGTAATCTCAACTCAATACATTAAAAGTAGAAAACTGGTATTTTCCTCCAAGCATGTTCTTCAAAAGTCTATCTGACTTTGTAAATGGCACATCTACTCATTTGAGAGTCCATTTGGTAGCTCTATGTTAATTCTTGTCTTCATCCGACTCATCTGATCGATCCATCAGTAAGTCTGGTCAACACTACTTCCAAAATACAAACAAAATCTATCATGTTCTCTCCAACTCCACCAACAAAACCTTAACCCAAACACCATCATTTCCTTCCCAGACGGTTTTAATAGTTTACCCACTCTGACTTTTGTTCCCTGCCAATTCATTCTTGAACAGGTAACCAGAGTGGTCTTTTTTTAAAACCAAAACTCTGATCAGATTACTCCACCAGTTACAGTCTATTTGTGGCTTCCCACCATACTTGGAATACACATTCCTTACCATGGTCTGTAATGAAGCCCTGTCAGCTGGTCCCTGCTTCCTCCTCTAGCCTCATCTCCTGCTCCTCCTGATACCCTAAGCCCACTGCTCAGTATACTCTGAATGTTTTGACCTTCTTTCTGTTTTTCAAATATGCCAAGCTCCTTTCCTTGGTTTTGCAATGTGCTGTTGTCTCTTCCTAATACATTCTTCTCCCCGATTCCTTGTGTGGCTGTTTCCTTCTCATGCTTCAAGTTTTGGTTTCAATGTCATCTCCTCAGAGAGATCTTCCCTGACCTCCATCCCATCTTAGAACCCTATTTGTTTCTTTTATAGCTGTTAGCAAAATTTAAGATAAAGTGTTTAAAAATTGATTTTGGTTCTGTCTCTCCAGGAGGGCAAAGGTCATTTTCTTGGTCACTATTTTATATATTTATATATTTTTAAATTTACGTATGTATGTGTTACATGTACATACATGTATGTGTGTGTGTGTGTGTGTGTGTGTGTGTATGTATCAGTACCTGTCACATAGTGTGTTCAGGATATTCAATAAATATTTGGTGAATGAAGGGATCACCCATGGTTAGAGTTCTTCAGGACCTCCTGGGATATATTTCAGAAAGCATGATGGCCCTGAATACTACTAGGTTAATTTCAAGGTCTTTAAAAAACTTGAAATCCTGGGTCTCCACATGGCTAACTGACCCTTTGAAGGAGATCTGCCAGGCATAATCCTATGATACATTCCTGAGAAGTCCAACAGACTCACTGCTTCTCCCGCAGATTTAAGATAACAAAAGGGATAAGAAGAGATTTAAGAATTTCCTGTGAATACTCGGAGTTGGGAGGACTCCTGTAGGTATAGAATTCAAATGTTGCTGAGGAACCCAGCATCCACTGTGATGTGAAGAGGCACAGAATGACACTGGGATTCTACACTGCAAAATCTAAGTTAAGGACATTGTGATGGTTAATTCTACGTGTTAACTTGAGTGGGCCAAAGGGTGCTCAGATATTCATTTAACATTATTCTGGGTATGTCTGTGAGAGTGTTTTTGGATGAGATTAACATTTGAATTGGTAGGCGAAGGGAAGCAGATTGCCCCCATTAAGGAGGGTGGAACCCATCCAATCAGTGGAAGGCCTGAATAGAACAAAAAAAGGCTGACCCTCCTTCTAGTAAGGGGGAACTCCTCCTGCTTAACTGCTTTGAATGAGGACACTGAACTGAAACACTGGTACTTCCTGGGTCTTGAGCCTCTTGGCTTTCAGATTGGAACTACACCATGGGCATTCTTGGGCCTCCAACCTGATGACTACAGATCTTGGGACTTGTTAACCTCTATAATCATGTAAGCCAAATTCCTTTCATAAATCTTTTCTCTTTATATACACAGTTGGAAGCAGAATCAACATCCTCTTGGTTCCATTTCTCTGAACCCTGACTAACATAGTGCTGGTTTAGTGTGCTGTGGACAAAGGGATGGAGCTCTGAAATAAAGGCATAATTTGTCTCAATAAAGAGGCAAGCCAGGATAAAACTGTAAGTATACCAATATCAGATGGTGCTTTTCTAATTCTATCTGTCACAGTACCTAATACTGAACTTTTTGTATAGTAGCCTTGTTTAATGGGCTAGTTATTTCATAGCTTTTTGTTCTAAATATTTTTAAATCAAAGACAAGAGTGAAGATCAATTTTTTAAAAACATCATATCAAAATTAAAACCAAATTTTGCACCCATTAAACAGGTGCTAATGAATGCATGATGACATCTACTAGACAAAATAATTTATAAACTTCAAGGACTGGTCTCCAAACATATAGAAATTGGAGAGGGCGGGAATGAGTTTTAAGGCATAACTCTTGAAATTGTTAATTAAAAAGCAGTTACTTATCAACATATTGAACTATATGAGTTGCCCTGTTTTTAAAAGAAAATCTAATTTTGGAACATAAAGTGCATTTTAATTTACATACTATGAGTTATACAACTTTTAAAAATGTTGATTACTAATGTTTAAAAATCATGTGGATGCTTTAACATTTTTCACTCCAAATTATACAGTATTTTAAAATATATCTAAAGGTGAGATCTCAACCTACTATTAACCATTTCGTTAAGTAAAAACCTTAACTCTTTCCTGCACACACAGACCAAAACTACTTTGTGGTAAGACCAACGGCTAGATTTCACTGTTTTGATTCATGTATGTTACTTCACATGGGCATGACTGGTTTGAAGAACTATTTTTTAAACTGTTGGAAACTCCATCTAAATCTCTAACGGATGGGCTCTTAATAAAGCAAAATAATTCTATAACTTGAAAAAAACTTACAAGTAAATTTTGTTTAAATATTACAGAGCTCTCTTATATGAGTTTAAATACCAACTATCAAAGCCTTGGAACTCTTCCCAACTTTAATTTAATTAAGTTTCTGGATTTCACAAGTAGCTTGATATGGTGGGCACACATTCCTAAATCCTCCATTCCCTTCTACTACCCTTCAGTGTCTTTCTAGCTTTTCAATAGAGGATAACTAGTTTAAAAACATGTCCAAATCTATATAGTGAATTACACTCTATTAATAATTATTACTATAAATTCTTAAAAGCTTACAAATACAGATAGGTAGAAATACCATATGCATATCCAACTCAGTACAACTAATGTTTCACTAAAATATCCCAGAAAAAAAACTTAGGAATTTTATGAACTCTAAAAAGACTCAAGATAAGGCAACTACTATCCTTATGTGATAGGCCACCTACAGCAACCAATCTGGAAGGAAGAAACACTTGACTGGAAACAAATAACTAGGTTTAAAATCCATTTCCTAAGGTACTAATTCTTTTGATGAGTATATCCATTTAGACATTATTCAATATGACTGTAGTAGTTCAACAGTGCACTATTTCTTTTTTTTTAAGATTTTATTTATTTATTTGACAGAGAGAGAGAGAGAGAGAGAGCACACAACAGGGGGAGCCGCAGAGGGAGAGCGAGAAGTAGGTTTTGCACTGAGCAGGGAGCCTGATGCAGGGCTTGATCTCAGGACCCTGGGATCATGACCTGAGCCAAAGGCAGACGCTTAACCGACTGAGCCACTACCCAGGAGCCCCAACAGTCCACTATTTCTTAATGCTACTAAACTTTATTCCCTGAACACCTATTATGTGCCAGGCCAATGAAATTTTAAATACTAGAATAAACATTTATTCCAAATAATAAGAGTAAATTTTCATTTATCTGCTGGACACTGTTATAAGCACTTCACTGACATTAACTTAATTCCCAAACCTGACCCGTGCAACCACGCATAGTCAAGTTATTTGCCTCAGGTCGCAGCTAAGTGATATATATTGGACATTTCTATTAAAACACTAAAATTAGTGTTCTGTAAGAGGGCTGTGAACACATTCAGTCAAGGCACTGATATGGAAGCATCTAACCTTTCCAGTCCTCATGAGCCCTCAGGATTAGAGACAGAGCAGATAGGAAGAGGAAGTTATGACACGTTATTGGTTGTGTGGCTGCTCTACACCATGGCAGAGGGCAAGAAACCCAAACCTGTCCTCAGCATAGAGAGCCACACAACTCTCATGCATCTGAGAGGAAGAAAATGCAAATGGATGGAGACATGTTTGAAAGCAAAATGTTGAGAAAACCTTTTTCAGGACACGAGAAAAACTGAAATTAAAGCATTCACTTCCTTGGATTGGGAGGAGCTAAGATGGTAGCATACTAGGAGGACCCTAGGCTTGTCTGGTCCCTCAAACACAACTAGATAACTATCAGATCATTCTGAATACCCAAGAAATCAACCCAAGGACTGACAGAACAAACTTCTCAATTAGAGGGAGAAAAGAGGCCAAGTCGAGGAAGGTAAGAACTGTGGAGGTGTGATTTGGGGGAGAAAAGGATCACGGGTGCTGCAGAGGGGAAGGAGCCCTAACTCACACAGAAAGGAGAGGGAGAGGGAGACAGAGAGAGAGAGAGAGAGAGATAGAGGGAGTGAGAGGGAGAGAGAGAGAGAGAAAAGCACACCAGGGAAATGCACAAGGAGATCACTTCCCCAAAGCCATTAGCTGAGAAAATGAGAGGGGCTGGAGGGGCTGATTTTTGTGAGTTTCTGCAACCAGGGCTCAGAGACTGGAGTTCAAAGGTCAGCAGGCTTGGATGAGATAGAGATCCTACTCCCTGAGAGAAGGCAGGCAAGCAGACAAGGGCAGACAGCACAATCCGAGGATCACATAAAGTACATGGGGGAGAGACTGTTCACTCTTCTTGGAGCACATCTGTGAGAGGTGGCATTCACAGAGACACTTCTTGGGGGACAGAAGAGCTGGAGAGTGCCATTTCTTTCCCCCACCTCTCAGCATAGGCACAGAGACACCTGCTGAGGGCAGAAAACCTGGACACTGGCTGTTTAGCCTGCTTTGCTCCAAATCCCACGCCCCTGCACTCTAGCATGATTGCCCTTCTCAGTCAAATCTGCATCCGTCCCAGAGCAGTGAGATCCTCCCCCAGAGGACTAGCTCAGGTCTCGCTACAGCATGACCTTAAAGTTTGGAGTTTTAAAAGTCAGCAGGCTTGGCTGGGATATTACCCAAAATGCACTGTGCTGCTCCAGGCAGGCAAGCAACTTGGAGACAGAGAGAAAACAGCAATCTGAAAAACATCTGAGATGCACAAGAGGAAATTATTCACTCTTATGGGAGTGCTTCCCTGAGAGCGGCAAGCATAGAGACCCCTCTCTAGGGACAAAGGAGCTGGTGGGCACCATTTATCTCCCCATCCCTCAGCATAAACCAACTTCAGTCAATAGCACAATGCCAACACTGGCTGCCTAACCTGCTTACACCAAGTCCCATTCCCTTGCATTCTGCTGGTACTGCTTTTCTCAGGCAAATGTGCCTAAAGACCAGTGCAGCAGGCCCCTTCCCAGAAAACCAGTACAACCCCCTGCACACACCATGTCTATTAACCATAGAGTTCTGAAAACTTCACTTGTAATGGAAATAGCATCAGGTCTCATTTAACAAGCAGACCAGAGCACACCTAGTTAAAACTTACCATACTCTGGCCAATGTCCAAACACTCCCAAACACAATAGCAGAATGCATGCAGCATACACCAGAGACACTCCCTGAAGCACGTCCTGGACATTGTATGACCTCTTCTTCATAAGGCTCTCAGGATCAGGAAATATAACAAGATTCTCTAATACAAAAAAAGAGATCTACACAAGACACAAAGACAGAGGAATTCATCTCAAAAGAAAGAACAAAAAAAGGTTACAGGCAGAAATCAAATCAAAAGAGATATAAGTATATGCCTGATGCAGAATTTAAAGCAACAGTCATAAGGATAATCGCTGGGCTTGAGAAAAGCATGGAAGATATCAGGGAGACTCTTACCACAGATATAAAAGTTAAAAAAAAAAAACAGAAATGAAAACTGCAATAACTGAGATTCAAAACAGACTGGATATAATGACCACAAGGATAGAAGAAACAGAGGAACGAGTAAGTGATATAGAAAATAGTACAATGGAAAATAATGAAGCCAAACAAAAGAGAGAATTATGGATCACAAGAATAGATTTAGGGAACTCAGTGAAACTAATCAAACATAAAAACATTCATATCATAGGAATCCCAGAAGAAGAAAAGAGAGAAAAGTGGGCAGAAGGTTTATATGAGGAAATAATAGCTGAAAACTTCCCTAATCTAGGGAAGGATACAGACATCCAAATTCAGGAGACAGAGAGAACTCTCCATAAAAATCAACAAAAGCAGGCCAACACCAAGATATACTGTAGTTAAATTTGTACAATATAGTTGATAGAGAAAAATTCCTGAAGGCAGCAAGACAAAAGAAGTCCCTAACTTACATGGGAAGACTCATAAAAGGGTAGCTGCAGATCTCTCCACAGAAACTTGGCAAGCCAGAAGAGAGTGGCATGATATATTCAATGTGCTGAATGGGAAAAATCTGCAGCCAAGAATACTCTACCCAAAAGGTTATCATTTAGAAAGAAGGAGAGATAAAGAGTTTCCCAGACAAACAAAAACTAAAGGACTTAATGACCACTAAACCAGCCCTGCAAGAAATATTAAAGGGGACTTGCTGAGTGGGAAGGAAAGACCAAAAGTGACAATGACTAGAAAGGAACAGAGAAAATCTCCAGAAAAGATGACAAAACAGGCAATAAAATGGCACTATATATGTATCTATCAATAATAATTCTGAATATAAATGGACTAAATGCGCCAATCAAAAGACATAGGATGTCAGAATATACAAAAAAAAAAAAAAAAAAAGGTCTCATCTACATGCTGCCTACAAGAGACTTATTTAGACCCAATGACACCTGCAGATTGAAAGTGAGGGGATGGTCAGTGGATCAAACTTTTAAAGAATTAATACCTATTCTTCTGAAACTTTCGAAAAATAGAAAATGGAAGGAAAACTCCCAAACTTATTCTATGAGGCCAGCAGTACACTGATCCCAAAACCAGACAAAGGAGAATTACAG